CCAATTGACTATATCAAATTTTTCTAAAACAAAATAAATCACATAGGTATAAGTAATATTATACAAAGAGGTAGGGTACTTATTCAATATAAAATGTATATTATCTTACCATTTTAGTTTTATAATCTTCATTCTTCACTCCTAATGTTTTTTCTATTTCTTTTAACCCATCAATATGTTTTAATGGAAAACTATTTGAAAAAAATAGAGTGTATATTGGAACATGTACACTGTTTGAACTATAGTTCAAACGCTCTAAAACAAGATCCAATTTCTTGTCTAATCTACTTAAGAACATATTTGTAGCATTACAGAATTAACTGCAAGTGATAGAAAAGTGTCCGACATCAATGTGTAATGTACGTAGTAGGTACTAGGTATCATATCTATCAAATAATAACAAAATATCATAAAATAAATTTAAAGCAATTTTATGAAATATTCATAATATTACTTTGACTGGTAGGTAGCTGTGTTATTTTCAAAATTATCTTCAAACTGCTGCAGTGTAAATAGTATTATATCTAGTCATGCCTATATTATATAATAATACCTATAGGTAATTCATAATTTTGACTATAGCACCTAAGGTACACAAAAAAAGTTCAAGATGCTCCACGCCTATGCAGTTGACATTTATACACGTTGTCTCTTCGATGAATATCCTATGTTATCCTATGATATTCTGAATATCCTGTTATATAGGTGGGTACCTCATCAATCGAAATTCGGAACAAAGGAACAATAGAAACACGATGAAACACAAAAGGAAGTATTTTAAGATAACCAAGTTGTAGAGTATGAAGCCACTCTACACAATTCCTACACTTATTATTATTATTTTTATTTATTACTTTTTAAAATGTTTCAGCATATTAAGTGCTATTACAAGTACATTTACAGTTACATAATATTACACATTTATAGTTTAATTTTTAAATTTATTTTGATGATGATAATTATATTAGTTCATAGTTATAAGTTTAAAAATAATAATATTTGTTATTCTTCATCTTCTGGTGAGAACTCTTCAGTGTTCGTTGGGAGTTTATCTTGGGGCAGTCGAGGTCGTAGCCGCCTATTTTGGGTTTTACTTCCTAGCTGATACCTAATGACGGGCGCCGTCTGAATCTTTAAGCTTGGCGTGGAAAGTATTTGAGTTGGGTTTTAATCCAGATGTTTATTAGGGGTATTCCAGTATCGTTATGGATTTGGCGATTTATCATAAACCGTGGTGCTTTTAGGGAGATCCTATGGAATTTGTTTTGGAGAGTTTGAACTTTTTTAATTTTAGTGGGTGCTTCCGCCCAAACAGCGGTCTGATTATTGAGGTATATAGAAGGAGTGATGTCTTGATTTGTAGTGTTAATTTGTAGTTTACTAGAGGGTAGAATTCTAGAATTCTCATCCTTGCATAGCCCTGTACGAGTTTTTTTGTTAGTGTGAATGTTCCAGGTAAGTTTTTCATCTATGTGGACACCCAAATATTTGACTGCGTAGTCTTTTAAATTCCATTGAATGACCAGGTTGTTTATTTGAATATCTTTAGAGTTGTTATATCTCTTAAGATATAAGAGATACCTTTGAGAGATACCATTTTGAAATCACTTTTTGTTGGATTTAGATTCAGTTTCCACGTTTGGAACCCGGTAGTTATTTCATTTAGTGAGGATTGTAGGTTCTGGATTGCTGAATCTAAGGAACTGTTTCGTGTGAGAATGGTCATGTAGTCCGCAAACATTGATAATTAAGAGTTGAGAGGGATTGGAATGTTGTGGCAGTGGATATTGAACAGAGTTAGTCCCAAGATTGATCCTTGGGGGACTCTAGCTTTGATGTGGTGTAATTGTGAAAAATCTGATTCTAATCTAAATTTGAAAGATCTGTTAAGCATGAAGGATGTGATGATTTTGAGTAGGTATGCAGGGAGATTTAATATTTTTAATTTTTGTTCAAGCTCGTGGTGCCCGTGGTACCTTATCAAAAGCTTGTGTTAGGTCTAAGAATGCCACTGTGGTATATTGTTTTTTTTTCGAAACCGTGTACAATTATTTCAGATATACGTTGGATTTAGTGGTATGTGGAGTGTTTGGTTTTAAATCCGAATTGATGCTTTGGGATAACGTGAAGGTAGGGGTTTATCCTCTCTAACAATATCCTTTCGTACAATTTGGATAGTGTTGGTAAGAAACTGATTGGCCTGTATAGCTAGTGGGAGAACTGACTGGCTTTTCTGGTTTGTGAATAGGAACTATGATAGCATGTTTCCATAAGGAGGAGAAGGTAGCGATGCGCATGGCTGCGTTAAATAGGGAGACTAAGTAAGATAGTGTTTTTGATGTCAGGTTTTTAAGGATTTTGTTAGTTATTAAATCGTGACCTGGACTTTTTCTTACTTACACATATTAAAACTGAAATATTTTATACTGTGAGCGGACCGATTAATGTATATTGATTTTACAATGATGTGTGTTTTTATTTATTTTTTGCATTTGCCATCACTTTTTGACACAGAATGAAAGCTTCAAATTCAATATATTTTCCGATAGTATAGGTTAATAGTAAATAAGTGAGTTAAGAGTAAAAAATTCCTAGTACTTTTCTTAATTATTGAGAAAAGTATAAACAATTTATGTAAAAATGGTAATTTAAACGAAAAACCAGTTTTTAACAAAATTGATTACCTATTTTTGTTGTAATTCAAAAACAAATTACTGTAAATACTCGAAATTTTAACTTGTACATATACAATATACATATACCTAGTATAATTTTAAAATTATTTTGACTAATTTTTGATTTTTATGTTATAATTTTGATAAAAACGCTCGGTTAAAAAGCTTTTAAATTTAATGCATGATGCCTTATAACTTTATAAGTGTTTATATTAGAATTAAAAGTATTTTTTTTTACAACAATTAAATACTTAATTAGATTAAATTTAGCCAAATAATATTTTAAATTATACAGAAGGTACGATAAAAGAATAAAATGAAAAAAGTAAATAAACATTAATATGCATGAAGAGGGAGTCTACAGTGTCAGAACCCTCAGACTTCGAAGAGATAACCAGTATTAGTTATTCTGTATACATAAAAAAAATGTACAACTTTAATAGAGAACTATATTAGTTAAAACTATGTAGATAAAACGGTGAAGTCACTTCCCAGTTGTAAAGGTGTATTTATCTCATTTTGACTTATTGTCTATTGATACTATTTATGGTGGCATTTATTTAAACCTACAACCTTATTACCTATAGGTTAGATACAGAATATAGGTACATAATAATAATATGTAATAAATTATGTATAATATATTAATTTATCATATTGTCAACGAAACTTTATGAATCGAACTTAATACCGTCCGTACTTACTGAATCAGTACTTTGCGCAGTATGTTTTATATTGAAATTGAGTGTAAGCTGCGAATAAATGTCTATTCATCGGAAATTGTATGACAATTGACAATCTAATTAAACGCTGACGTACAGTATACGCATAAGTGTATTACAAACATAATTATACACCACAGTATATAGTAGCATAATAAAGAATAAAGATAGTTCTTTTGAGGCAATAGGAGTACCTCAAGTCCAAAATGGGCGGGTGTGTCATAAATGTTAAAAATACAAAAGATATATAGTAAAATATAATAACGTTGGTTTTTTTGCTGTATACAATTTTTTATAGCATTTTTTGTTTTTGCAAATCATTTTGTAAAAAATGTATGAATTATTTACTACATTTTTAAACCTAAGGACTGAATATTTAAAACAAGTCATGAGTAGTTCATTTTCCACTGTAACCAAAAAGTTTAAAAAAATATATGCATACAATTTCTTTCTTATAGCTGATATAATTTTAAGTTCAAATTTGGACGAAATTAGTTATTTAAATTTTAAACATATAATAAAGTTTAGTTTTTTTTTGCAATTAAAAAATATTATTCGTGTTCTTGAAACATTTAAAGTACCTATATTTTATACATATACTGGCATTTTTTAAATCCATCGTTTTCAGGAAAAAATTAATTGCAATGTAAATAACTAATGTATTACTATTACTTAATAGTAAAATAAACGACTTAAAGAGCAATATAAATATATCATATATTATAATATAGGTACCTATTTAGTATTAGTAATACATATAAGCAGTTAAGGTCTTCGCACAGAACCATTTTTCGTATACAATGATTTAATATCATTGAATTTAAATTTAACACATCCATTACACAGTGACCCACACAACACCTAATGCACAGCAGAGCGGTACCCACTTGACTACCTTTTTTTAATTACTAATATAGTAATCATGTTACCATCAAGTAACCATCGTCATTTACAAAATTAGTGTTTAAAATTCGTATATACAAAAACAATGTGTTTATGCATTCATAATTAATATATATACATTATATAAGTGTCCAAATCTTATCAATCAGTTATATTTTTTGGTACCATTTTTCTTGAGTCTTTCAGACTCGTTCCAACTCAAATTTCAACAATGTAGTAGTATTCATCTAAAAGCCATGGACTTTTAGTTTTGAAAGCAAACAATTTGCTAATAAAATTCGATTTGATATACTAGTCATCCATCTGGAATAGTAGAAACATCTATGATAGATTTTGCACATTTGCATTTATCATTGTTAGTTGTTTAGTTATTGTCAATGTGATATTCGTTATGTACTTACAATTATTAATACGCCGTCTTTGTACGTTTTCGATAAGTTTTTATCAAATTATGCATCATAAAATATATTATAAATTACCAGTTAAACAACAATAATTAATTAACAACAGAGTTTAGACGCGTCACAGACTCACAGTACTCCAATTGTTTGCAAGTTCAATTTATAAGGGGTATAAATATTAAATACCTACTGTAAAAATTAAATAAAAAGCGCGTCAAATGATTTAATAACCACCATCATGAAACATCCGCTTGGATCGTGACGGTCAACAGCAACTTTTCGTGTCGCGGACTATAATATATAATTATATATAGACTACATATTCCATAATATAATAGACAGTAATAATAGTACGTTTGAAACCGGTTGTGAGAAACATAAATCTTTAATTATAAACTAAGTGTAAAATAAACAATTGAAGAACCGAACTTTTCACGTATCAAATGTACGAATCGAAAATGTAACTTTACAGCAATCATTATATTGGTGAGAAACTTGATTTAATTAATTCCCCAAAAAAATTATTACAGTCATTCAGGAACTTCTGAAAATATTTTAGATTGAACAAAAAAATTAAGCGATAAGACGTTGTAAATTTATTAAGTAGGCGTTATTTTAATCAAAAAATAATTGAATGAACAAAAATCTTCAAATAGTTGCAATTTATTCAGATTCAACCTATAACTTTTCATAAGCGTTTTACAATATTAATCCTCTCCGAACAAACACCACATATTGAGAATTTAAGTTATTATTAACAGGCATGGCCCATTTGCGAAGAAAAAATTAATTCGTTTTGGGTATACAGCCCATTTGCGCCAAAATAAAAAAGGAATGTTTTTCAGACAGCCCATTTGCGCCAAATTTACCTATGTAAACATTTTAAATTAACGACTTGGTTAATTATAATATTTTAAAGACGTCATGTCTGTAACTTTTAGTAAAAAATATGTAAGTACTATTAACTATTACTACTTATTTGTTATAAATTATAATAGTTCGTAATAATTTATTACCTATAGTTTTTAAAAACAATTTGTATTTATTCTGAATTCTGATGATTGTTTCAAAAAAATGTGCATTATACAGCTGTTATTGATTATTATTTTAAAAACATTCCTATAATTAATTATGATTTAAATAAAATTGTATATAATAAAAAAAATTAGTTTTTTACTTTATTATAATTATACCAAGTAAATTTGGAGCAAGTGGGTTGTTGGAAACAGTACCCAAAACGAATTCATTTTTTTTGGCGCAAATAGGTAACACTCATTATCAACATTCAGGTGGAATTTATAAATTTAAATAAATAGAGTAAAACTACACCAATTTATAGTTATTAATTACATTAGAAGAAGAGATTATCGTAGATAATGAATACCATACAGTATGCCTATAACTAATAAGTAATAACTGAAAGCTCACAAAGATGAAATTAAATGAATTCAATGTTTTTAAAATAATGACATTTTGATACCTATCTGGTAAATACAATTTGACGATACTTTTTTCCTCATATATTTTAATTTTTATTCGGTATTATATATTATCATTTGCATAATTTTTTAAACTATTATCTATAATATTATAAAATATTTTTTTTACATCAAGTATTTAAATTTATAAGTAATTTCATTAGTACGAGCCGTGGCCAAGCACTGTTTTATCGACAATGTTTTCGAATAATAAACTAGTTCTGCATCCTCAATAAAACAATAAATATTAGTTTTATTAGGCGATAACCGTTTGCGTACAAATGTACAACTCATTTGCACACATGCATTTTTAATACCTGCGAAAAATGACCCAAAACGGAGAACTCGTTTGCGTACATAAACTATATAGCAAAAGTCTACTAGAATTCAAAAGTACTTACAAAAATAATGTTTAAGATTGTTTTCAAACATTTTCTTTCTCACTTTTTCAGACTTAGGACTGTCACAAGAGTGATTAAAAATGTTTTTTTTTTTTGATGATTTAATAAAATTTAATTTGTCATGTGATTCTATTAATTGAATATTATGTTTGTATTTTATTAATTATAATGTAATGCTTCTTTGTCGTTGATTAAACTAATTTATCGCTATAATTTGTTGTGCCGATTTGTTTTAAATATTCCAATCTATTTATAGATTTGTTACATAATTGTCTGAAACATTTGTCTAAAAAATGTAATTTATTTATGGTGTCTTTTTGAATTTCCACTGAACAGTATTATAAGGTCCACAGTTCCACACACACTGTTGCGGTGGAGGTAAAATTCTTTTGTTCTGGTGGTGCCGCCGCGGTGACAGTGAATTGTGTCAGCACTCATTTAAACGCCACCACCACCGCTGCAGTTATTTTTGTAAATATGTAACGTATATAATTGCATAAAAAATTTTGGAGCATAAGTAAAGGTTCCATTTCCAAAAACATGTTCCGAGTTTGAAATTGCCTTTAAATTGATTTTTCATGTAAATACAATTATATTTTTATCATCACTCATAAAACAAAATTGTTCACCCTTGTATTGAATTTTATTTTGCATTTCATTCAACTGTTTGGTACCAAATTCAGTCGATGTCGGTAAATTCAGAAAATGCTTTATTTTTATGTCATACATAGAACGCTTAAATGATTTCATATCTGTATGAGTTAAATTTATCGAAATATCTTCTGTATTTTGAAAAATCAATAAATATCAATTTACTTAGAAGTTTATGTAAGTCATCATTTGTTTTACGTTTTAACGAACTTTATAGTTTCTCTAGAAATTTCTTGGTTAGTAGTGATGTGTGCCTTCGGCCTCGTGATTATGTGTGTTTGAAGTATTAATTACTTTGGTAATTGATTCATTCACTGATCTTGATGTACATTTGTTATTGGTACATCTAAACAACATATCACATGATTTTAAGACACGAAACTCACTATACTTATAGTTTTCAATATTAAAACAACATTTTCCTCTGTGCATTTCAAAAACATTCGATACTTGAATATTCATGATACTATACGAAATAAAACTGGCAACTCGTGTCTCGATAGTATCATAAATTCGACTAAATAATAGCTTAGCCTAAGCATATAGTAATATAAATTATAATAACTCAAAACGTAACCGAAACATCCAGCGGTCATCAATATTTAGACACATTTATCTAAAATTGCATTATCGCTTAGAACTGCACACCAATTAATCAAACACTTTTGAGATAAAGCGTATATCTTATCGAAATTATCACTATTAGGCGCTGCGAGTTAAAATTTAAGTAGAATTTAATAATTGTACGCAAACGACTAACGAGTCGTTATTATTCTGGTTACCTATAGTATAGACAGTATAGTGACTTCTTAAGTGGTGTTCGATCACTTAGCTATGTTTTTTACATAAGTCAGTGCGCTAAAAAAATTTTTAATGGGGGTCTTTTTTGTAGTATGGATGGTATCATTAATAAATAATAGTATACAAATTATTTTTTGTGAGAGAGACAAAAATTGGCACTAGTAAATTTGTATATACTTGTTTATGTCACCTTGGAAATTACAACACGTCCAAGTAGGAATGTCCCCTAAAAAGACATTGATTTTACTATGTTACACATTACAGAGAGATTAGACAGTCGGTGTTCACCCATTTTTCTTTCACACAAAAATATTTACCTATTTCAAAAAATTATAATAATAATAATAATTGTTATATATGCATCACATGAATCAATTGCACTGCGATATTTCTTAAAGATGTTGCATAGCATCGCATCATTATTTAATAATCAATATCACATAGATATTAAGTTATAACTTGTATGTGATTTTACTATATATCATAGCAAAATAATTTTTCTGTAATATTGCAATTATGATACATTGCGACATTTATATAATATTTGCTCATAATTCAATATATTTGATTTTATAATATTGTTGAGGTATTTAGTGGTAACAGATATATAATGATATTTGAATGTCGGCAAATACAAGCATTAACAATCGTATGCGAGCAATTATTTCTGCAACAGTATGTATGATACATTCAAATAACAAATTTAGTAATATTACGTGTTGCAGTGAAATAGGTATTACATCATAGAGTAAGAACTACACACACAATATTACATACACATAAATCAACGGTGTTTAAAACGTTGGTCACAGGGTAAAAACTATAGTGTACCAAGGGCTTATCACTCCCCGGATAGTTGGGTCTTTACTCTCTATACACTCTCTACAATCAGTATAATATTGCACAGAGTGCACTCTCGAAATAGGTTTTGTGCCTAACTTAAACATATTTGATGTATGTACAATATTTTTTTTATCTTGTATAAACTTCTGATTTTTTTTCCAAAACCTTTCTATAAAAATTGAAATAGTTATTTCAAGTAAAAAAACGAAATTATTTAAATGAACATTTTTTTTTTTTTTGATACGTATCTATATTATCTATTGCTATAAATTAATTCAAAATTATTTAAGGGAGATAATAAAAAAAATGTTTGTATAATGATTGTAAAATCTCCTTACAGAAAAGTGCTATACGATAAATATTTTTGTATGAATTGGAGAGAAACTACTGTGTAATCTCCCTGTAATGTGTAATACAGTAAAATTGATGACCTTTGAGCAGGGCATTCCTGCTTCGACATGGTCTAGGTAAATTACCCCGGTAAAAAAAAACAATTAGTTAGTGGGCATATTAATATAATATTCTATTGTACATAATACATTTAGGTACTATAAATTAATTGGCAAGCGAAAAAAATACAATTTTTTGAGATGGAGGTTAGGTTAGGTTCATAAGATCGTGTTATTTCTTAACCCATATTATATTAATTGTATTATAGTTATTATTTAAATAAATATTTTTTGTAAGTACAGTTCAAAATCGTGTTCAGTATCGCAGAATTGTTATACTAAATCGTTTTCTTTTGTATTTCTATATCCTTCGATGCATCCATAAATTTGTTCAAATGTGTCATAAAAAAGATGTTTTGACTTGATCGTTTATTACTGTCATTATCACGGATAAAACTTACATTTATTGATTTATTGCTAGATTAATTTATTAATCGACAACATTGTCGATAATACAGGGCTTAGTAGTTCTCGGCTCCCAGTCTTAAACACTGTGCATAAACACGATAACATAATAATTTGTGGATTAATACATGCAAATAATAAATTAAAAAAATTGGTTTGATTGTCGCACATAAATTAATATTCTATATGCTCAGTCGTGTACTCGTGTTATGCTCAATCGTGCTTTACCGATACCAATTATAAATCAAAAATTAAATTATTTCACTATTGTGACTAGTGACTACGTTTCATATTTTCATACATACCTACTTAGTACCTATAGATACTATTTCTACGAGGATTACTGAAAATATTCTTAAAACAAAAATGTCTTCACCTTTGATGTTCATGTGGCAATCGTTTAAATGTGTTCATCAGTTGATATTTTATAAATATTTATTTCATTTACATATAAGCGT